AGATAGATAGATAGATAGATAGATAGATAGATAGATAGATATGGATGGATGGATGGATGGACGGACGGACAGACGGACGGACAGGGAGATGGATGGATGGATGGATGGATGGATGGATGGATGGACGGATGGACAGACTGACAAAGATGGACAGATGGATGGACGGACGGATGGACAGACTGACAAAGATGGACAGATGGATGGACGGACGGATGGACAGACTGACAAAGATGGACAGATGGATGGACGGACGGATGGACAGACTGACAAAGATGGACAGATGGATGGACGGACGGATGGACAGACTGACAAAGATGGACAGGAAGAGAGATAGATAGATAGATAGATAGATAGATAGATAGATAGATAGATAGATAGATAGAGATATGATAGATGGATGACAATTCTGTTTGTGCTCAAATGGGCAGGGGAAGGAAAATGCAATATTTGGACTGGAGAAGAACTGTTTGCTGGGCTGTATCTGTGTCTATGGACTCATCCATATGGCTGGATGAGACTTCGTGTTTTTAAAATAAATACTCTTATGCTAACCAAAGGTTAGATGGGAGTATCTCGGAGGCCCCTTCTAAATCTCATGATTCGATGCTGCATCACTTTGGCACAATACTCAGTTGACTGATCAACCTGTTGATACAAATATCTGTAATCCTAATTTTGTAATTAAACCGGCCTTCTGCCCATTTGCACCCTGAAAACACACACACACACTTGTGGTTTGGTTGTGTGTCACTACATCACTCAACAAAGGGAAGGTCAGGGCATACTTTGGGTACATGGATATAGGCCTTATGGATTTTTGCAATCTGACAAAGTTGGATTGTGAATTCTGCCCTCTTTTTGCCACGTTCTCACTGATTTATGCTTTTGGGACATAAAAACAACCACTGTAAATCCACCCACTGTCCAAGAACAGGCAAAGTCAAGAGACACTCTAAGCCAGTGTTTCTCAACCTTAGCAAATTTTAAGATGTCTGGACTTCAACTCCCAGAATTCCCCCCCCCCCCCTTCCGGTGGGGGGATTTTGGGGGGGTTATCCCCACAATATCCAAAGTGCCCGGGTGTAAAAAAAACGGACCAAAAATTTAAAGCACCAT